TAAACTACAAATAGGACAATACATGCTACTGAAAACTGAGCTATTTGTTTCAACTAAGATTTGGATGATATTTAACCCAGCATTCAATTTCTCACCACATGAATTTAAGCCATGATACGAGGTCTATCCAGCAGAAAGCCATGTCTGTTATTACTGATAAGCCTGCATTATCTCAGTGGAAAGAAACAGGCACGGCTAAAGCACATGGTCACTAAACGTATGAAAATGACAAGTTTTACACTATTTTCACCATTTTATTCCTTATTCCAACCTTTTTATGCACCTGAAAACATTTTCACAGCAGGCAACACTTGCGTCTTCTCTGCCACGGCTACAGAATTTGTGATATTTACTTCAAACTCCTTTTGTTTTGACCCTGAATGACCCAGGAGGTGAAGGACAGAACTACTTTATTCACCAACAAAAATGAACACTTTAAAGGCCTTCCAGGAGTCTCTCCAACTGACAGGTCAGTTCATGTTTCACAGTAATGGAGGCTTTGGAATAAAAGAGGTGAAAATACTGCACAAATAAAAACGAACAGGTCTAAAATGCATGTTTAGCCCCTTACCAAGCCATGAGCCCGGTGGTGGGGCCAAAGTTTTATAACACACTTCTACAGCCTAAGAAAAACTCAATTAGTTTGCACTAAAGTCCCTGTAGTTAATGAATAATAGGCCTTAGTATGTAATAGGCCTGGTCTGTTAAGGGGTTAGCATGCTTTCTCCAGCTGTCAACAGGGGAAGCTTTTAAGCATTGGACTAAAACAGACACAGAAACTTTCAAATCCACCTACAGCTCACTTGACGTCTGCGATCTTGAAAGATAAGCCATACGTTACGGTGATGTGATGCTTCCAACCCATTAAATTTTCAGGTTTGTTATATCTTAAGACAGGGGTCGGCTGCTCTTTTACTGCCCTGTTGCGGCTCCACAGCAGAATTAGAGTTTTAGGTAAAAATAAAAAAATCCTTCTGTACAGTAAAATAAAGCTCTGCTGACTGTTCAACACAGTTTTAACAACAAATGGTTTTAAACGCTGGAGTTGATGTAGAACTGCTAATTCACCCTTTAACCCTGAAGATTGGTGCGCAGACTGCTGGTCACCACAGCAACACAGACAACAATCTGGCCTAACTAGTAGCTACAAAAAGGCAGAGAGAGATTTAAGATGAACATTGATAATTTGGAGACGAATGGACTTATTTGCGTTTATAATCACTCCAGCTGGTTTCCTGATATGTTTAATGTGCAACGAGAAACAGTCGAACATTAAAAAGTAGCGAGGCTGAAGTCAGCTTCTCGTTTGCCAGCTTCTTGTTGAAGTTTTCCCGTTCCACCTTAAATAGTGCAACAGTTCTGGCACCTCAGGCACCATTTAAGGTGGAATGGGAAAAGTCAAACAAGAAGCTGGTGAATGAGAAGCGACTTCAGCCTCGTAAAAAGTCGAAAGTTGAGAGACATTTTACAAGAAACTGTTCTACTTTTGCGAAAAAGTTTCCTGCTGGAGATGCGAGAAAAGTGGCTATAGCTGAGCTAAAGCTTAAAGCAGAGCAAAGTGAGTCTGCATTTTTTAGTCTATGCTAGCACTACTGAGACATATTTACAGCCAAGATGGTAAAATGGACACAAAATGTTGTGGCTCCTGAGGTGGTTTAATTTTGTTGAAAGGACAAAATGGTTCTTCTTAACATTTGGGTTGCCGACCCCTGTCCCAAGGCCTAATCACCCATAATTAGATGGACAATTATGCAAACAGGCATTTCTTTAGTTATAGATGTGAGAGATAAAAGCCTGGTAAACAGCTTCTCTGCACACAACTGCCATTTTACAAAAAGCCCATTTAACTGTACTTGCCGTCCACAAATTCAACCTTAAACGTCCCTCCGTTTGTGCATTCGAATGCAAACACTCCTCCACATCCGAATCCGTCTGAGGAATCTCAAAGGGACAGACCTACATGCAGTAATGAACCAATTAGAAGAGTACACTGTAATTGGGTTTGGTGACAGGCGCCATATGTGACCCAGTAGCCCTCCCTCATAGAGCGAGGCGAAACATGATTACTGCTGCTGGTTCAGGCGCGTCCCCGACAACAGGTGCAGCTGCTGCCCAAGGCCCACAGGTGACACCTGTGGATCACCCCTGCAATTTTAAAGAGGCACATAATCCCGCACACAGATCCCTCCACATCATCAGATATCTTGGCCCTCTACTGACCTGTGTAAAGATCCAAGAGTCAGTGACTCTAAGCGGGCCAGGGATACTGATACACTATATGTCCAGAAGTATCCAGACACGCCTTCTAATTAGTGCATTCGGCTACACAGCATTGCCAGTAGAATGGTTTTCTCTGGAGCAGCCGCACATGAGCCTAAGGTCACCGTGCCCTGTGGAGCAGTGGAACTGCGCTCTCTGGAGTGATGGAGCTCCATCCAATACCTTTGGGTTGAGTTGAAGTGATCCAGAACTAATCATCTAACATCAGTACCTGATCTCACTAATGCTCTTGTGGCTGAACGCAATCAGATCCTCAAATCGATGTTCAAATGTCTTGCGTAAAGCCTTCCCAGAAGAGTAGAAGCTGTTGTTGCAGCAAAGGGGAGACAAATCCCCTTCATTTAGGAAGGTCAGGTGTCTGATGAGCAGGTGTCTACAAACCTGTGGGCGATATAACCTGTTTAAAGGACAGACATCTTCAGTTGGTCAGTCTGATGCCACACTTTGGTTCAACTGCCCTATTGGGTTGTTCACACTGTCTGGTAGGGCCTCCAACAGTTACAATAACAAGACAATCAAAATTAAACGATTATTTTTAATTCTAATTTATTGTGTTATAATGATGCATGATTTGGTATTATTATGACTATTTTTACATATTTTATTTAAACGTATACATATTTATACACTCTCAAATACAGCCACAAAACTGCCCCTGGGGCAGTACCTCTCTTGTCGCTGGGGTGGTACCATCTAGGGTACATCTCAGTACCTTTAGTCAGGAAACATAACTGTACAATAATCCATTATGATTATATTTTCTAAGCTGTATTGACTCCACACACCCCGTCTCGTCTCCAGGCTTTTTATTTTATTGTTCTGTTTTAAACATTAGCCTAAGAAAAGGTACAAATACGTCCTTTTCACCTGGGAAAAAACTTTTTTAAGGTACACAACTGAACCTGAAAACCACTGTAGTACCTTTGAGGGAACATTTACATTGTTTGTACTTTGATGAATGAAAAATGAACATGAATTACCTTTATTTCTAACACTGTATATTATTAATATTACATATTATTTATTTATCTTTTTATACATTTTTTATTTGTTATTCAGTTTAATTATATTTAAAGTCCAAGGAAATCCACTGTTTAAACAAACTTTAATAAATGCATGACGCGTCCCAAGTCAAAAAGTAATCGTGTTAACCCTCTACTGCACGCATTAGGAGAGAATAAAAAAACAATCAATTCGCTTTTCTTGTATAAATGGACCTGATTATTAAATTAAAAAATGTGTGCAAGGGTTCTTTTGGGGGTATGTTGCCCTGAGGCAACATTGTGTGTTGTTGCTTCTAGGCAACAAACATATTTCCGCAAATTTTCATAACAAAAAATTTGATACTGAATGTTAAAAGTGGGCAAAGAGACAATACGACCAAATACATGCTTTTTTATTAATTTACTCGAACTCTTCCCTTTATTGATAACCTTGTTGTTATCTTTAAAATACTTATGATGTTATTGTAAAGTGAGGAAAATGGGTTTGTTGCCCTGAGGCAACATTGTGCAGTAGAGGGTTAAATAATCGCGATCTCAGTGTTGACCAAAATAATCGTGATTATGACTTTTGACGTAATCGAGCAGCCCCACTGCCTGGCTTGGCTGATGTAAGCCAGCTAGCTAGCACATCTGTAAATCAGAAAGCCTATAAACTGCGGCAGCTGAACACTGACAGCTTTTAAATAGGCAAGGTGATGGTTTTCTTTTCAGTCATGTCCTGGAAAAAGAACATAAATGCCTGAACTTAGTAGACGAGGCTGCAGCACTGACGTTAGCCGGCCAGGCTAAGCTGACACAGGCTGCTAACTACGAACACAGCAACAGCAACAGACAGCTTTGCGAGATCTTCTCTCAGAAACAAAACTATGTAAACCTGGTGCTCCTTGACAAGTCATAATTTAATGTAGTTACTTGTCATAACTGGGATATATTTGTTCTGGACGGCGTGAACGTTAGCAGACCTAGAAAGCCAGCCAGCCTGCCTAGTAACGTTACGCAGCGTAGCAAATTAGCAGGTTTCGAGACTATTTATGTCCTCCTTGTACGCATTTATGTGAAATACCTGGAATCCTGTTTTTTTCTTCTGTAATGTACATTAAAACATATACTAGCTAGCCAGGGGCATCTGTAACCTAAGTTCGCCAGCTAGCTCTCTAAGCAAAGTCAAAAAAGTGGGAGGTGTGTTTGACAGTTCACGTTTCTCCCGGCTAGCTAGCTACACAACACAACAAAACCCCGTTTAAAGTGTGAATTGACACCCACGGTGTTTAAGTAGGACCTACAGGTTTGAAAGTAAAGCCTACAGTGTTGAATTAACACCCTAAATCCAGCTGGACACAGTGCCTTGCTATACCGCCAGCTTCTCGTTCGAATTTCACCGTTCCACCTTAAATGGCGCAGCGGTTCCATTCAGGCGCTTGAGGCGCCACAATGTAACCGCTGCACTATTTAAGGTGGAACGTGAAAATTCGAACAAGAAGCTGGCGAACTGGAGGCTGACTTAACGGACAGCTCCAGAAGATGACGCGCAGTGACAGCACGGCTACGGCTGGTGGTGGTGTTGTTATTGGTAGTGCAGATGTGGGCTGGAGAGTCAAGGTTAAACCACAGAAATGAATGACCGTGTCTCAGAGCAACATTAAAAGGGGAGAAAAGGCTTGACATTGGTGTTCAGCGCATTTCGGCACAGCAGCGGCAGCGGCAGCTGTTGTTTACCTGTAATAGGATAGCAGCCCGTTGCTAAGGACGAACCACCTGCGCTGGTAACCCTTCAGGTAGTTGGTCCATTTGAACAGCCAGCCTTTATAAGTGTCCGAGCCGGGGGCCGGCGTGGCCGCGGTGGTGGTGTTGGTGGCGGATGAAGCCGAAGCCGAGCTCTTGCCCGGGTCGCTCATCCTTCTCTTTCTCTCCCTGCGTCCCGCCGTAGTTGTCCTCCGTTTGAGAGCGTGCCTAGCCGGCGGGGGGAAAGCGGTACAAAAGTGCCGGACCGAAGCCGCTGCAGGGAGCGGCCGCTGTCCCTCACTGCCCGTACACTGGACTGGGCAGAAGAAGAGAAGAGAGACAGAGAGACAGATCCAGTCGCCCCCTCCCCTCCTTCTGTCTGATTTCGCTGGAAAACACGTTATTTTTCCCACCTCTTTTCTTTTCCCACCTGTTTCCAGGAACGCCCCGCCCTCCTGCGCTAAGATTGGCCATTAAGGTCCTACCTCCTTCGCTGTGATTGGTTAGTGCCGGGCAGGGCTGTTTCTGTTTGGGGTCTTAATGGGGCCCAGTTATATTATTATGTGCGCAAGAATGAAAAAGGTACGCAGTTCCGCTGGTGACATCCTGTAGAAATAAAAATAATGCGTGGCCACGACTTAGTAAGGCATGGGAATGAGATGATTAAGTCGTGGCCACGACTTAGTAAAGTGTGGGAATGAGATCCTAATGCGTGGCCACGACTTAGTAAGCCATGATCTCGTTCCCACGCCTTACTAAGTCATGGCCACGACTTGATCATGTCATTCCCACGCCTTGCTAAGTGGTGGCCACGCATTAGGATCTCGTTCCCACGTGTTAATAAGGCGTGGCCACGCATTATTTTTATTTATACAGGATGTCATCATCAGGGCTCCGTAAAAAAGAATAATTTTCAATAATTTTAAGGAAGCATTAAGAAACACCTTATTCCTGCACCCCATGGTGTTTTGAGTGACTTCTATGCAAAGCATAAGCAATATAAAACTTATAAAACACTAAATTAAATGCTTATAAAACACTAAATTAAATGCTTATAAAACACTAAATTAAATGCTTATAAAACGCTAAATTAAATGCTTATAAAACACTAACATGATAAAAAGTGTGGAAATGAATAAAAATAAAATTTAATCGTTATTGTCAGGATGCTCAAATAAATGGGTCGATGTTTGTAGCTTAATTGATCCGTGAACAGAAACCTGACTGCTTTAGTCAGAGGAGTCTATTTATACCCTACAGCAGGGGTCGGCGACACACGGCTCTCTTACTGTCCTGTTGCGGCTCCACAGCAGAATTAGATTTGTAGGTAAAAATAAAATAATCCTCCTTTGCAGTAAAATAAAGCTCTGTTGATCGTTCAGCACAGTTTTAGGAATAAATGGTCTTAAACGAGTTAATGCAGCCTATAACTGCTAATTCACCAACTTTTGACCCTGAGGGTTGGCGCGCAGACTGCTGGTCAGATACGCAGCAACACAGACAACAGTCTCGCCTAACTAGCAGCTAACAAAAAGGCAAAGAGAAAGATTTAAGACCTACAGACCTGCAGTCCGACAGTCCTAGAACTGGGATGCAAGGATTGGTGCATGGAAGAAAAACGTGTGATGTAGCAGGCAAGAAATGCTGGAACATCAGTGTGTGAATAACACGGGGTCATCAGGCCAGCATGTTCCCTAAATCAACACATTAATGCCAGGATCATCAATCAGCTGCAAGAGGGACAGGTACTGCAATACCCTGATCCCTAAATGCTGCTGCAGAGACATTATTTTGCCCGTTGATGGCAGTGCTGAGTCAATTTCATTATAGGCCCTTGTCACATTTCCATGTTTTTTTCTGCTGGAAGTTCTCCTTTCAGGGCAACACTAAAGCAAAAACAATAACAAGGGCGACCATTCGACGTGTACAGCTTACTCAAGCGTTTGAGTTTCAGACAAAAACAGTCTTATCTCAGTTTCAGTGGTTTGTCAGCTGACAAAGAGCAGAGGAAAAATGTGTTTGTCTAACTATCAAAGGAATTAACTTTGTTATACAAAGGAAAGGAACTTGTGTGTCAGCATTTCAGCGCTGCTGACTAACATTAACATGCAGTTTGTGCTTTAAAGTTGGTGTTGCAGCCGCTTTCAGAGGAACAGTTTTCATCTTCTCCCACGAAAGCTGTCAGCATCTGAGAGCGAGTGCTCGGCAGGGAGTTGACGTTCGTTCACTGGAGCCAGTGGTTGTGGAAAATGTCCACAGAGTCACTACAGATGCCCCCTGCCATAATGTGTGCGTGCTTAGCCCTTTGCCATTTAGTTTATTGTTAGCAAGCTGTTTCAATGTCTCCAGCTAACATGGCTAATCTAGCGTTTTGGTTATAGTTGTTTTCACCTGTCCATCGATTTATCACTCTGTAGACATTAGCTGACGTTACTGTACCCCGATAGCTGTGAAGGAACTTTTCCATGAAGCATTTATATCCTTTATTTAGTTTGGACTCCCACATTGGTGTGTGTTTGGTTGTGTAACTATTCTGGACACATCCTTGAATTCCAAGTTTGGCCACTATGACAAAGAGAAAGTGACGCACCTTTCTGTGGTGAACTGAAGTGATACGAGCAGCTGTACTTCTGAGGTTAGTAACTGCCCATAAAGCAATAGTGGAACTTTTTTTATCCAGCGCTTACGCACTTCAGTTTCTTGTGAAAAGGGACTGTTAATTAGCTTAATTGCTGTTAAAAAAGACTGAGTTGGCTATTGACACCATTTGCATAGAAAAATCCTAAATGTGTCTGAGGCAGTATACAGCTTAAAAGCAGGAGGTTTTCCTGCCTGTGAAACATTGTTTAACATTATAATAACTACAGTACAATAATTTAACATACATACATATTGAAAAAGTACTGTGTTGTGAGTTGGTTAGAAGAAGACGTTTTAGTTCCTGACCTCTCCATGACGCCTCCAGCCATCACATGGATTGATTAAATGTCATTATTATTCAGCACATCTGAATAATGAAGCGCTGAGTAGCCAAACTAGTGATTTGATGAATGGATCATAACTACAATTAATGCTAGACATCCACAACTAGATGTACATAACATACATACATAAAATCACTTACTGTATCCATCCATCCATCCATCATCTAAACCGCTTATCCTTCTGGGTCGCGGTGGGGTGCTGGAGCCTATCCCAGCTGTGATTGGGCGGAAGGCAGGATACACCCTGGACAGGTCGCCAGTCCATCGCAGCTTACTGTATTATTGTTTTTTTAATTACTTATTCTACTATTCCTGCATTTCTGAGCGAATAAGTACTTACTGTCCAGATAAATAGCTATTAATAAAAGAAAGTGCTGCCTCTGAGAAGCTTGAGAGGCGTGGCCATGTGGGCAGCCACACACGGAGGCTCATGGTAGGAGCACGTCATCCTAAAAAAGGACTGTTTATTGTTGTTTATTGTTGTTGTTTGTTAGTTTAAGTCGTGGGTATGTGTTGGTTATGTTTCATTGTGTCTGGACTGAGGGATGTTTGTGTGTGTGTGGGGGGGGGTCACCAGGAGGGTGATGGCTGTGGCTGGTGTTGAGCTCCCCCACAGGGTTGGCTGTATGTTATGTGTGGTTCTGCCTGATGTTTAATGAAAAGCGCTTCTCGTGGTGGAACCATGGCCCCCCTGTGTCTTACTCTACGTCCAAGCCAAGAAAATAACACTATTAATAACCCATCTTGTCCCTCATCTTCATAATAAAGTGGTGAGTCCTTAGGTCATCATTTGCATTGTCATGAGTTTATCATCCTCATGTGGTCAGTCTGTCATTATGTGTGTTGTCCTGAGGTCATCATGGTCATTCTGTGTGTTATGCTGAGTCCCTCGTCTTCATAATCACATGGTTAGTCCTTAGGTCATCATTTGTGTTGCCTTGAGTCCATCATCATGATGAGTGATGTGTCCATCCTCATGGGTTTTCCTTAGTCTATGACCATCATAATGATGTCCATCATAATTAAATTTGTGTCTTGATCATCATCATCATCATCATCATCATCATGTGTGCTGCTCTGAGTCCAGTACCCTCATCATTTTCTTCCAAAATCATGAGTGTTGTCCAAAATCATAAATTAGCACATCCTCCACACGGAATAACCTGTAATTTTCTGCAAATTTTAGTGCTTTTTTTCTGAATAAAAAATGTGTCATAACTTTCACACAGGCCACATTTTGGTCTTATTTTTTCCTAACATGAACTTGAGGAAATAAACAGTAATTGTACATTAAAGTGTGTTCTCTGTAGAGGATGTGGTAACTTTTTTCACTTAGAAAATCAACAAAATGTGTGTATTGACCTGGGTGCCCAAACATTTGCATACAACTGTAATAATGTAAAAAGCAATATTTTTAAAAATAAATGAATAAATAAATATTTTTTAGAATCTATTATTTTTTTCCAAGAGTTTTATGGTTCACAAAGACCTTCATACATTCTTGCTACATACACTGTCTGTTATTCACCACAAGGGGGCAGTGTGAGATTATGTTAGTGGAGATGTAATGCAGGTGATGTGTGGAGGGCCACTCTGGACCAAAACCAACACTTCATTCCGTCCTACATATTTAGGCGAACATCTAAAAATAGGATCACTCCTATCATAATAAAATGATTCATGTTAAGATAATAGAAGGTTAAATTTAGCTTTTAAAGGCTACTGAGTGTCCAGAAATGTTGGATTGTTCAAAAAAAAAATTACTGAAACCGAACTTTCACACAAAGATTGATCATGATGTAGACCAGGTTCCACTCTCAGTCTCCTGGGGATTCAGAGATAAGATGCCAAAGCTGAATTTTGATGAAGGAACACTGGACTATTCCCTTTAGATGGAGCTCAGACAAGATCCTCTTTCCCTCAAGGATCCACAGTGTCATATCTGGCCACAGCACTACTTGGGTGGCCACGCGTCACAGCTTTTCTGGGCCATCCAGTTCCAGTGCCCCTTCAATCGCAGTGGAAAAGCTCTGAAACAGTACTGACTCCCCTGTGGAATAAAGCCTGGGCATGCCTCTGCATCCTCCTGGAGGGCCCTCATCCTCTGGGACATTGAAGTCCCGTAGATCAATGACAAAGGGTTGACCCAAGACAAAATTTGGTCAGAGTATTTCTGTCCTTTCAAAACATTTACTTTATCTAAAATAATGTTTTTATCCATCATTTTTCCATCAGGTTTTAATAAAGAATGTGCAAAACTAATTGGCTGCAAATGTAAATGCAAAGAATGAGGCATTACAAACAAAATACTTTTTATAGATTGGTTTATTCAGATGTAGAAAAATGGATTGGTTTTGCAATACAAATAATGTAAAGCAACCAAAAT